TCCTTTCAGAACAGGAGTCCCTCCTCCCCAAAAATTTCAACAGGGGATTGACTGCATGGCTGACATGCCCTTTGCTGACACCATAGCAAGTGACAGAGCTCCAACAAGCTCTGCAGGTTCCCTGCAGGCCAAGCTGACTAATGACCTTATCGCTCGTTGCAGGCTGAGGTTATCAACTGGTGATCAGCTGTTGTACAGCAGCTGGCTCTCCTGCTGTCACTCGCTCATGTGCCTGAGCTATTTGTTGGAAAGATTATCCGCAGCATGACACGTGAATTTTACAATCTCTCCAGTTCCGGAGATGCACAAGGAAATAAATCCAGAAAATCTGATTAGGACTTGTCACTGGAATAAGCTCGTTAATCATGGATGTGGTTCTTTCATATGCAGTTTGCTAACTCCTGCAGGCATCAGCAAACCAGTGGGTCTGAAGGCTGCAGACTTGAAAAAGTTCTTCTTTATATAACAACTGGACTGATTTTTTCTCTCTTGAATATTTAGCTCATTCTAATAAATTAAAAGAGCCAGAGGACACCAGTGAGATCATTTAGCCTAGTTTCTTGCATAGCGTCAGGGACAGGATTCCCCTGAAATAATTCCTGTGGCCCAAAACATAAGAAGGTCTAGTTCAGAAAAGGGAAAATCCAGCATGAAAAACCTCTGCCAGCCACTTGCCTTAGTAATTTTTGCAGCAGTCAGTTACCCATACTGTTGCATAAAAGAAAAGATCACATTACATTTCTCACCTGAACTTGTCTAGCTTTGCCTGTCAACAACAGGTTCTTTGAGTAAGAGATGAAAGCTGTCTATTATTAAATTGCTGTTTCCCCAGCCTCTCCCAAAAATATTCTCAGCTAAGCCAAGCCAGCTGAGCTACTGCCATCTCGAAACACAGCACGTATTTCCCATACCCCTCCAAACATTGCCATCACAGTACAGCTTGTAATAATGCCAGCCATGGCCACACAGGTGCCTAAACACAAGAAATAAAGCCATGAATAACTTTCCCTGGCCTCAAACACATGAAATAATTTGGATATGTGTGGCTCCAAATTAAACCCATAGATGAAACTTTCTAAATCTGGATACAAGTGAAATTGAGAATAGAATCACAGAATGGTTTGGATTGGAACAGACCTTAAAAGTCATCTATCTCCAACCTCCCTGCCATGGCCAGGGACCCCCTCCACTACACCAGGTTGCTCAAAGCCCCATCCAGCCTGGCTTTGAACACCTCCAGGGACGGGGAATCCACAGCTTCTCTGGACAACCTGTTCCAGTGCCTCACCACCCTCAGAGTGAAGAATTTCTTCCTTATACCTAATCCAAATCTCCCCTCTCAGTTTAAAGCCATTGGCCCTTGTCCTGTCACTACACACCCTTGTAAAAAGTCCCTCTCCAGCTTTCTCGTAGATGCCCTTCAGGTACTGGAAGGGTGCTGTAAGGTCTTCCTGGAGCCTTCTCTTCTCCAGGCTGAACAACCCCAACTCTCTCAGCCTGTCTTCATAGCAGAGGTGCTCCAGCCCTCTTATCATCTTCATGGCCCTGCTCTGGACTCGTTGCTGGCTCTGTTTGAGCTTCCCATCAACCAACATCCCCAAGTACTTCTCCTCTGTGCTGCTCTCAATCCATTCTCCACCCAGCCTGTACTTGTGCTTGGGATTGTTCCGACCCATGTGCAGGACCTTGCACTTGGCCTTGTTGTACTTCGTGAGGTTCACGCAGGCCCACCTCTCCAGCCTGTCGAGATCCCTCTGGATGGCATCCCTTTCCCCAGCGTATCAACCACACCACACAGCTTGGTGTGGTCAGCAGACTTGCTGAGGGCACAATCGATCCCACTGTCCATTTCGCTGACAAAGATGTTAAAGAGCACTGGTCCCAGTATCGACCCCTGAGGAACACCACTCCTCACTGGTCTCCACTTAGACATTGAGCCATTGACTGCAACTCTTTGAGTGCAACCATCCAGTCAATTCCTTATCCACCGAGTGGTTTGTCCATCAAATCCATGTCTTCTAATTTAGAGACAAGGATGTCGTGCGGGACCGTGTTAAATGCTTTGCACAAAGTAGTAAGACTTCTCTCCAGATTTTGCACCTAATAATAAGTCAAATCAACAAAAACAAGAGAAACAAGGAGTTTTCAGGGGTTTTGAAAATGTCCCTTAATCTCCTGATGATGCCCAAAACCTAGGACACTGCTATGAAACACAGCTCCACGAGTGACACTAGTAACCTATCTTCAAGAGCAAGCAGAAAGTATTAAAACTCAAACTGCACAGTATTTCAAAACCCATAAGTTTCTCCCCGTTTGTTTCATATTCTCAAGACGACTTTACAGCTTGCTTCTGGTTTAGAGACTCATTAGACATCAGATCCAGGAACACAAAACATTTGCAATTACTGCTTAAGGGGGGATAGTGCGTCTTGAGAGCCAAAGAATTAAGACAACTGGCATCTTCCAAATGCAAAGAAAAGGATGTCTGCCCACAGACCTTCCCCACAACTTCTCTGGAAGATTGGTTGAAGAAAGTTCAACCCAAATTCACCCAGCCAGATTGAGATGGTATGGTTCTCAGAAGCCAACAATGGTCAGGCGTCTACAAAGATTGTCCCTCTCCTCTCTGGAACAGAAGGTCAACCTTATGCTGCTACTCGGGAAGTTTGTCTTTCCGTGTCATCTCCTTGGATTAAAGGTACCCAGAAGGACACAGAGTGCACACCATAATATCATTGCAACATGCTCAAGGAAGTTCAAAGACATTTAGAAAAGTTAGAGATTCCTACAAGAGAAAAGGCAGTGATTAAGACAGCATATCACCTTTACTGGCTCATGGATAAACTAAAATAGCATATGGATTTAATTAAATAATTTTTACAAAGACAGACCTGACCTAGCAGAATGACTGGGTTTTCCTTTCGTGTCTAGTTTTAGGAGAGTAGGGGATATGTCTCCTTCAGCATGTATAGGTTTGCCACGGATATGCTTATGAGTAACATGTGTTAGTTTTTGGTGAGTCATCGGTGCTAAATTACATCTAAAACTGTCTTGTTTCCAGTGCAGCAGGCCTGAACTGAGCTCCACACGCATGGAGCGTTCAGTTCTGGCACTCTCTACAGAGACAGAGTCCTGCTAATGATATGTACCCAAGTGAGTGCGCAAAACCTTTTTCATCACAAAGACACAGGGCTAAGTAATTTCCTCTTCCTTTCCCAACTACTTGAAAACGTTTAGCGTGCCAAAGAATGATCTCTGTTCTGCGTTGCTGCAACTCTTTCAAAAACACTTCCCTGTAGATTAATTCCACAAGACGGCAGGTAAAATATCAGCAGCAATTAGAGCTGCTCCCATACGGAGCCTAAGGATTAGGTCAGCAAAGGTGGCGTCTGTAGGATAGGCCCTGCCAGTTCCAATGAATCTTGAGTGCCTTTCATTATCATTCCCATTAATTGGGCTCCAAACATCTCCTTCACAGCTTCTATGCAACAAACACTTGCCCTGGGTAAGCTGCATCTTCATAGAATCATAGAATGGCTTGGATTGGAAGGGACCTCAAAGATCATCTAGTTTCAACTCCCCTGCCATGGGCAGGGACACCCTCCACTACACCAGGTTGCCCAAAGCCTCATCCAACCTGGCCTTGAACACTTCCAGGGATGGGGCATCTACAACTTCTCTGGGCAACCTGTTCCAGTGCTTCGCCACCCTCAGAGTGAAGAATTTCTCCTTTATATCTAATCTAAATCTCCTCTCTTTCAGTTCAAAGCCATTGCCCCTTGTCCTATCACTACATGCCCTTGTAAAAAGTCCCTCTCCAGCTTTCTTGTAGACCTCCTTCAGGTACTGGAAGGCTGCTAAGAAGGTGTCCCCAGAGCCTTCTCTTCTGCAGGCTGAACAGCCCCAACTCTCTCAGTCTGTCTCCATAGCAGAGGTGCTCCAGCCCTTGGATCATCTTCATGGCCCTCCTCCGGACCCGCTCAAGCAGCTCCATGTCCTTCTTGTGTTGGGGACACCAGAGCTGAATGCGGTATTCCACGTGGGGTCTCACGAGAGCAGAGTAGAGGGGCAGAATCACCTCCCTCGACCTACTGGCCACGGTGCATTGGAGGCAGCCCAGGATATGGTTCTCCCAGATGCCTTAATACCAAATTTGTTTTTTATTTTGCTGAACTGTGTGGCCTCGGGGCCCTGTTGCATTAGATTCGGCACAAAGACATGGCCGTTCCTCCAACAGTTTGCAGTATAACTAGACACACAACAAGTCTTGAGCGTGGGGAGAGCACCAGCGCAAAGGTGGCAGGTGAAGGACTGGGGTGGAATGGAGTACCCAACAACTCATCTGTGTCTTTGCCAACACGCAGCCAGGGCACGTTCCAAATCCCACAGCCAAGTGATTCGCTCCTGGCTAAAGGCAATCAGTTTGAGTAAGATCCAAAGTATCCATGAAACATTAAACAGAAACACGTCTCTGCTAGCCAAGAGAGATGGAGGCAAATAGGCAGAACTGTAGCTCAAGGCTTGAGCCCAGTGCTAAATTCAGGCCAGCAGACCGATTTGCTTGCACGCTGTTCACACTACCTGCACACCAGGACACTGGTGTTTGCATGAGCATAGGGGATGGACTACTCAAGAGCGAGTGAAAGTCGTGAGCTCTGTAGTTGGGATGTCTTCCCAGGAGCGAAGCAACAAGAGGAAAATCAAAAATGTCTTCTGCTGCCTTGACGACTAGTCAGACCCTTGTTCTGGGAGCCCTCCCACAGGGACCAGAGATTGCCACCCCATCAACATTTGTCTAGGGTGCTGATAGCCCTGTTTGCACTCTGTCACTGAATTTCCCCATAAGCAAGTCCTACAAATACCTGGAGAAAAATGGCTTTTAACACGCTCACAGTCAAGAAGCACATTCCCAAAGAGGCCACTTTCCCCACTCTGCCCCAAAACCAGCAGACCTAGGGTGCATAAAAGCTGCACTCTGAATTGTACTCACCCAAACCACATTACTCAATCTTGTCAGAGCTGAAATAGCTGGGTTTATGCCAGTCTCCACGGCTGCTGCCTCTTCCCCTTGAAGGGAAGGCTTCAGGAGCAAATATATCTTTAAAAAAAGAGCAGGGAGACAGACATGAGCGTTACGTGCTTTCAAACATGTGTTCATTCAGCGTTCTGCACGACATGACGGCAACCTCAAGGATGCACACAAGTGCTGGTTACGAGAGCACAAATCTGGCAATCCAGAAAATGCTTACACAGAGGATAATTTCATAGATTTCATAGATTTCTAAGTTGGAAAAGACCTTAGAGATCATCCAGTCCAACTGTCCCTAATCTCCCATTAAACCATATCCCTAAGTAGTTCATCCACCCTATTCTTAAACACATCCAGGGATGGGGACTCAACCACCTCCCTGGGCAGCCTATTCCAGTGGCTGACAACCCTTTCAGAGAAGAAATACTTTCTAACATCCAACCTGAATCTCCCCTGACTAAGCTTATACCCATTTCCTCTTGTTCTATCACCCATCATAATCCTCAGCACTGTCCTACTTCGTAACCTAATGGCCTCAGCTTCCTCAACAAAATGCTCCTCTGCGCAGGAAAAACCAGCCGGCCGTGAGCCAAGCAAACTGCTGGTCTTCCATATTTTCTTATCCCTCAGACAGACGACCTTCAGATGGCCCAAAGAAACGATTCAAAAGGCAAATCAACATGTGCCAGGACAGCCCAGCATGGCAGAAGTGGCTTACCCTCTCCACGACCGCTGCCTCGCCTGTTGGGGCTCATTATCGGCACATGCATCATCTGCAAATTAAAGATATTTCTTTAAAAAAATCTCATCTTTCAGAAGTCAGCCCCTCCTTTGTTTCCTCAAGTACTACGTGATTATTGAAGTAATTCCAAACTTCATGATTAATTTCTCTGAAAAGAAGATTACTGCTGTAGTATTGCAAAGCAGCGATGTTGGTAAGGAAGTCTGCAGTTGCAGGTAGGCTCTCAGGTCAACATTTTTTGTACTTAACACCTTACCTAACCTTCCTGTAGTGCAGATACAACCAGGAGTGCAGAGCCTGGAGAGCAGGGTTAGTCTGCTGCAGCCACAAAGGTGACCTCTTTGACTCATTTATCCCAAATTACTCTTTCAAAAGCTCTCTATACTTGTCTTTTGTTGGTGTCTATCCCAGTAATAGAATCCCAGCCTCAGTCAATCACAATTCCTTCTCCTGTCCAAATGCCACCAGCACTACAGAGCTCCTCCACCACCGCCCACAGCGAACCCTTTTCTGAGTTACAGCTCTAGAGAAAGAGCTGTGGTGCACTTGCTGCAGCCCTCTGCAGAAAGAAATACTTTCCTTTCCATGTGCAGTAATTCCCTTTGGCGTTTTTTCCTTATTAACATTGCAGGAAACATATTTCTCAGCAG